AAGATTATTAATGTACGTTTTGCCCATTTCAATCCAATTCGAATGTGAATAAAAATCTTGTAATGTATGAAGCAATCGTCCAAGTGATTGACGAGCATTAGTCAAATCTTTATTGGTAGTACTTGTGTCATTAACAACTAATCGAAATATTAAAAGAAATTATTTATTAAAAATTATTTCGAAAAGTTACCTATTTGTCTAAGTTGAAGAATACGTCGGCTACCGTTTATAAATGCTTCACTATCAAAATGTGCTGCTGAAAGTTTCTTTGTATTTGAATTAAAATCCACAAGAGCATCTTCTGTCATGACCAAATCAAGAATAAATTTTAATGGAAGTGAATATAATTCTACTTGTGCTTGACTATATTCAGGATATGCAAGTTTATAAAGATCATCGATAGTATGTTCTGTAGTAAAATATTCTTGTTCATTGATAGTATTCCCATTATTGTTATTTGGTTTAATACGTGTATCATAAAAGAAACTAGCTAGACAACGAATGAAACCAGCTTGGGTGATTTCTGTATGTGTTATACCTACATAGAAGAAAAAAAGGATGAATCATTCTTCAGAAAAATCAATAAAAGAAAAGTTACTATCACTAGTTTGAGCACCATCTCCAATAACTGGATACGGAATAAATGCATTTATATAAGAGCTAGTAAGTAGAAGATAGAATAGCAATTTTATATGTGAATTCAACATGTAAGTAGTTGTATGTTGATAAGTAAGAATAAGATGTGAATTGTGTTTGATACGATTCGTTTGAAGTAATGTGTATTTATAAGATATCTTACAGTTGATGATGATTGTACTGACTAAAAATAAGTGCGGAAAAGAACATGGCGAAAGTATTAACTCATTGATGGAGTTAGCTTGCATACATCGATATGCATGATTAATGATGAGAAACTAATCATGAGTAACTAATGATGAGTAACTATTTAGACGATGGGAGATAAAAATTATCAACGAAAATTATCGTTTATTCATTATGAGTTTTATTAGTGGTATGTTCTGGGTGTGGGTGTGAGTCTTCTGTTCACCAGTATGCACACCCGCACGCACACACTACCATAAACGGTTGTTGAATAAAGTGTCGATGAAAAGGGAAAATTAATTAATTATTTTTAAGTAGTCGATGAAACGAAATGAAACCTTATTAGTGTATTGGATTGTCAATTCATTTTTGTTTTACTCTTTCCGTTTTGGCTAAACATTTTTCATTGAACCCATTTACTCATGCTGCGTTTGCTACATCATGAAAGATTCTGTTTCATACTTGAAAGGTAATATAAACGAACAGAGTCTATCTTGATAAATGCAAAAGTAAGACTTAGTCAATTGCATTTGTGTTGTACTAAATTATCATCCACAAAAGTTATACACATTACCCATGTAAAAAATTTTTGATTAAAAATTTGATTAAAAATCGATTAAAATGGCACGATTTTAATCAGAGTTTAATCGGATTTTTTAGGCTTGAAGACGGATTTTATTTGATTTTAATCTTTTTTAATCCATTTTAATCGATTAATAAGCTTGAATCAGTTAAAACTAATTATCAAAATCAATTTTAATTGATTTAGGTTTATTAATCGATTAAAATAGATTAAAAAAG